GTTAGCTGTCGTCACTCCACATGTAAAATTATAACTTTCAGACGAACATAGCAATCTTGTCTTCGGAAATAATGAGCACGACACGACATGAGGATGACATTGTGTTAATGTCGAAAGTACTCGGAATAAATACAATATGTATCAACACTGTAATTTTCTCTCTTTTAGTTTTAGGCTTTTTTTTCAGCGTTTGTCTTACATAAAATAATAAAAAGCTTGTTTGGAAGAATTAATGATTGTTTTATTTCCTGTTTTAAGCTTTGCTTTACCGCTAATAATGCAGCAATATATATGCGTAATGACCTGGAGAAGACTATGTTAGGGAATTTTTAGGGGTGATATCCGTCATCCGGTATTTTCTGTGGTCCGGCTAGGTCATTGCCGGACCACAGAAGGTTGCCGGATTAAGGATATCAGATTGTTTTAAGCTTTGTTCTACCTTAGTTAACAGCAATAAATCTGTGGAATGAACTGGAGAAAACTATGTTGACATGTTCTTTTAAGAGGTGATTTCTGTCATCCGGCAATTTCTGATATCCGGCAATAGCCTGGTCCCCAGGTTGCCGGATTAAAGAGGTCGGGCTGTTTAAGCTTTGTTCTACCTTTAATAACACATCAATATATATGTGGAATGAGCTGGGCTTTTTTTTTAAATAGCAATTTCTGTCATTCGGCATATTCTGTAGTCCGGCAATGTTGAAGATTTAAATAAATCGATCTGTATTAAAAAAAAAAAAGTGGATCAAGCAAGGTATCTTTCTTGTCCAATTTTAGACAATATTTTTAAATTACTTTTTTTTTCTTTTAATGAACAAATATTAATGCATATTATAGCGACTTTATTTTTAAAAAAGAAGTCAAACATATTTTTTTACCGAATGTAAAAGCGGGGTAAATTAAAATAAACGGCATATATATATAAAGAAAGAACAGTAAGATATATAATCCGGCGTTCTTATTGATATTTTTATTGTTAATATATATATATATATATATATATATATATATATATAAATTGAACATATAGTCAACACTTAAGTGTTGACAGTCTGTTTCATTTATATATATATATATATATATATATATATATATATATATATATTAACAAGAAAATATCAATAAGAACACTGGATTATATATCTTATTGTTCTTATATATATATATATATATATATGCCGTTTATTTTAATTTACCTTGTATAGAATCAACATAGAGGCGACAGTCTGTTTCATGCTATATGCAATCGTCAGGCACACGTGGCATGACGATTGCATAGCATGAAACAGACTGTCGCCTCTAAGTGTTGACTTCTATTTCACTTTTATATTTACACACGCTCTATCTCTGATATTGAGCACTTTATCCCATAAATATAGCACATCTTAAGACTATATTTCTTAATATATATATATATATATATATATATATATATATATATATATATATATATATGTGTGTGTGTGTGTGTATGAATACCGTCATTTTTACCGGTGTCTTGGATTCCAAAACTGTGTCAAATTATTCATTTTAGTCGGATCAAATCAATAATACACATGCATATCACATCTCTTTTAAGCCTGAGAGATAAAAAAAATTTACAGTTTTAGCTCCTCAACAGACTTGCCGAATTTTGTCACACCTGAAACAGAAAACGCTGATAATACGTATCCTTCATGAAGTGCATTATTCCTTGTTCTTGGGGTCAGGTTCGGGATATACAGTTGGATGGTAATTATACTGCACATGAATAATTCTGAGACAGAAATTCAACTCTAGGCTGTGTCTGACAGTTGTTTAATATTAGAATAAATTTGCCGTCTTCACGAGGATTGAATCGAATTTAATGTCCATCAGGAACCTTTTATCTAAGGAGAATTGATCTGTGGTGATCCCTATATGTACTGGCTTCACCTTAAGATATACTAGAGATCTGAATCGAATTTCATGTCTCTGGGGAAACTTGGTTTAAGACGAATTGATCTGTGGTGATCCTAGCATGTACCTTAAGATATACCAGGTTTCTGAATCGAATTTTGAACTTTGATCTAAGAGGAATTGATCTGTTCTGAGCTCAATATATACTGGGTTCATCTTAAGAAGTTTGAATAGAATTTCATGTCCCTTAGGAAGCTTGGTCTAAGACGAATTGATCTGCGCTGACCCCAATATGTATTCCGTTCGCCTTAAGATATACCCGAAATCTGAAGCGAATTTCAAGTCAGGAACTTTGGTCTAAGAAGGATGTCATTCGGCATTTTCTGTGGTCTGGCAATGGTGCCAGATTAAAGAGGTCGATCTGTATTAAAAAAGGAAGTGAATCAAGCAAGGTATCATTCTTTACCAATTTTTGACAATATTTTGAAACCATTTTTTTTCTTCTTTTAATGAACAACTTTTAATTAACATTATAGCAACTTTATTTTTTAAAAAAAGAAACCAAATATATCCTTTTTTTGTCGAGTGTAATAGCGGAAACAAAACAAACGATATATATATATATATATATATATATATATATATATATATATATATATATATATATATATATTTCTTACTGCACATCAATTGTTTTTCATAAACGTATTGGGCAGCATATATTTTATATTATAAAGAGGCAATCATACAATGAATCAATTAGTAATATTAATGTAATTAATGAAATCTCTTCGTTAACAGACTTAATATAAGCATTAACTTATCATTGAATGATGCGATCCTTATGTATGAAATTGTTGTCAGATGTATCTAGTGTATTTTTTGAGCAGCATGTACTTTCGAAAACTTCATATTCTCATCGTCAGGCTGTAATTTTTTCATTACAAATAAAACTCAAGACGAAATAAATGTATTGTAGACCGAAAGATTACATTAATATTGCTAATTGATTTATTGTATGATTATCTCTTTAAAATTTAAATTATATGCTGCCTAATATTATACGTTTATGAAAAACAATATATATATATATATATATATATATATATATATATATATATATATATATATATAATTTGATAATATTTTACCGGTTTCTTTGATTCTAGAACTGTGGTGAATTATTCATTTTACCGATCAAATCCATAATATACATGCACATCACACCTCTTTTAAACCTTAAGTCTGAAAGATAAAAAAATTACAGTTTTAGCTCCTCAACAGTCTTGCCAAATTTTGTCACACCTAAAACAGAAAACTCTGATAATACGTATCCTTCATGAAGTGCATTTTCCCTTGTTCTTGCGGTCAGGTTCTGGGGGTCAGATTAGGGATATACATAATTCCGAGACAACAATTCAACTGTAGGATGTGTTGAATAGTTGTCTAATACTGAAGAAATTTGCCGTCTTCACGAGGACTGAATCAAATTTAATGTTCATCAGGAACCTTTGACCTAAGGAGAATTGATCTGTGGTGACCCCAATATGTACTGGGTTCACCTTAAGATATACCATAGTTTTAAATCGAATTTAATGACAATAAAGAATATTTGCTAATATTTATCCGTTGTGCCCGTAAAAAAAAAAAAGTTAGCATAATCATGTTTTGCTTTCTGTTTAGCACATTTTCTTACAAGGCCATTACCCGAAACCTGGTGTTGGGTAAAATAATGGTTAAGTAAATAAATGTAAGCGTTCTGTTTGCGCAAATTCCAATGTTGAGTGATGCTTGACATGTACAGTGTTTATATTTTCTTTAAATTGATATTATTCTCCTGAGTAGATGAACACATATGTAGTGCCAATAAGTCTCGTTGTAATGAGACTTCATAGGGTTAATTAAAATCTCGGATTCACGAGATTTCTAGTAGTGGTAATAGTATTAAACACAAGTGACTGACGTTATACATGTTATATCGCCCATGTAAATAAAATATGTTAAACCATATATACGCGATTGTTGTTTGTTAGAGTTCACACATTTTAATTTTAGACATGTTTAACCTTCGGGCCGGCAAAAAAGAAAAACGATGTGCCAAAAGGACAGTTATTCTCTCGACACCGCTATTACTGTATACACTTTTGACTCCCTCAGCAAAGTTTATTTCTGTCAGCCAGACGTGATACATGTCTCTTTTGATTAATGACTGACTAGACAGGAAAATTTTGCCGCAGTAGGTGGCCGTTTCTTTCTGCGGTAGATTGGTTGCCATCCAAGGCTATAGGACCCAGTCTCTCCTGCTACTTAACCCATAGCTTGGGGTGGGGGAGGTGAAGAAATGGATTCATTCTTTTTCGAAGGGTTATTTACGATTAAATGAATGTAACGAACACGATTGAAATTCGATCCCGGCTCTTCGATTTTACATTCCATTAAACCGTGTTTCGTACGTTTCGGCGTAACTGATTCGGCGTGATCGATTCGGCGTCAGAAAAATAATTGGACTATTCGGCACTGTCGTTTAGGCGTCAGACTGTTTCGACGTCACTGTCTTTGACTGGAGCCTCCCCACAAGGATAAAAACTTTGAAAACAGCCCACTTTCAATATAACATTTTTATTTATTTAGGGAATTAAGGATTCAATTAAAACACTAATCGAATAATATGAATTAAAAACTTAAATTAAAAATATTGTATTAAATAAAAAAAAAAAAAACTTAGTAAAGCTATTTAATCTTAGAAATTACTTCTTGTTCGTTGCGTCATTAATAAAAAAGTTATCCATCGTGTATCACCTTGTTTCTTTCACGTTTTGATAAAAATATTTGCTTCCATCTTGGAATAAAAGGGCTTTGACGACTGAAAAATATAAAGCTGCACTGAAGGAAATATAATATAAAAATACCTCCAGGTATTCTTTTTCTTAAATTTAAAAATACCTCCAGGTATTCTTTTTCTTAAATTTAAAAATACCTCCAGGTATTCTTTTTCTTAAATTTAAAAATACCTCCAGGTATTCTTTTTCTTAAATTTAAAAATGCCTCCAACTGCTCCTTTTGTTAAATATAAAATGCCCCCAATTACTCTTTTTCTTAAATTGGACGAAGTACTAATTCGACTACTAAAAGATAGAGATAGATAGATAGATAGATAGATAGAGAGAGAGAGAGAGAGAGAGAGAGAGAGAGAAAAAAAGGAGAGAGAAATTATTTGCTTCCATTTGAAATAAAAGGGTTTTGACGACTGAAAAATATGAAATTTCACTGAAGGAAATTTATAAAAATACCTGCCACTACTCTTTTTCTTAAATTTAAAAATGCCTCCAACTGGTCCTTTCTTAAATTGGACGAAGTACTAACTTGACTACTGAGAGAAAGATATATATATATATATATATATATATATATATATATATATATATATATATAGAGAGAGAGAGAGAGAGAGAGAGATGACTATAACGACAAAGTAGTAATATAACGCCTGATCGGCCCTCTGCCAAAAAATGTCGAATCTGCTACGCCGGAACTTCCGATTCCCCATTAAACCACAACACACATCTGAGAACCAAGTACAATGCGTTATTTAGTATTTCTATAAATTTTATAAATATTTATTATTTACCAGTTTATAAAGAAATAAATTTGAAAAGAAATCTTTTTATTAAAAAAATTATCAGAATTATACCTTTATAAAATTGTAAATAATAAACATTTCATTATAGTTGGTTTACATATTTTGTAATCTTGTAAATATAAAATTCCTTTTTGTACTGAATTCTGAACAGGAGTAGAGGTTTATCCCTCGTTTCCAGTTTAGGGTTGGGTTTCCGGTTCCTTCTCCTAAAGTCATCTCATTCTCTTTCTCTCCCAGTAACCGCTTGAGTATTAGTGGCATTATCACCTCGCTTGGGGTGAAATGATAAATAAGCAATCTAATAAATAAATAAATAATGTTTAACATCTTTTATTTGAATTATTCGGACTATTGTCCTCATCTTTGTCGCCATATTTATTACAACGTTTCGGCCGTTGTACGCTCCGGCCTTCTTCAGGTGGTTGGAATGTCGAACTGAACCCTTTATTTCGCTCACTGGGGTAGAGTGTTTTAGTTCCACGTGCCATGTTTAATGGATGTCAGTTATCAGTTATCTCCTGTTAATTTCCCTCTGAAAGTTCTCCACTGCCTTAACCGAGTATTGAACTCACACTCTTTGGATCCTGTCACTGAATCTAACGCCTTTATCTATTCCAACCATCTGAAGAAGGCCTGAGCGTACAACGTCCGAAACGTTGTAATAAATATGGTGACAAAGATGAGGACAATAGTACGAATAATGTAAATAATGTACATAATACCTCAACTCAGAAATATAGATAGATATTTAACATCTTTGTTGTCAATTCTCAAGAATAAAGAAAATGCATAAATTCGCTTTCAAATGTTTGGGTTTTACTAAAATTCTAATGATCCCTTTTTAAAACAATAAGAATTACCGTGAGAACGAAAAGTGTATACAGTAATAGCGGCGTCAAAGGAATAGCCGTCTTCTTGACACACCTTTTCTGTACGGGCACGAAAATGAAGCATTGCCGAACATTTCTCCTAAGGGAAGTTGATATGTGGTGACCTCGATATATACTGGGTTCACCCTAAGAGATAAGCAAAATAGATTTGCACACAGTGTCACAACAGATCATCAGAATAACGAGATGCACGAAAGAGTCGACCTGGAAGATGAGCTCATAACCGCCAAGTGCAGATTCACACCTCACAGGATATCAGTGGTCGTTCCCGACACGGAAACAGTCGATCCAGCAGCGTTTAGGATGTGTTCACATAGAACAATCAGGTGTCAGAAAGATATATAAGCGTTCTACCCTAGAGGGGAAAGCGTGAGAGCTTTTCGCAACCCCGCGAGATGTTCTACGTTCGGAGAACGTCCCCAAAGCCAGACACATCTCTTACGTCGATATTAATTGACAAAATCCGGATGTGAATGAACAGTAATTTAAACGCATGAGAGATATCATTTCGTGTTCTTATAAGTTTTAACGGTAACATTACATAAAGATGCATAATACGCTCGTGATTGCCTCCGGATTAAAGGAGGTGTTGAGCAGGGGATAGGTGGAATATCGAACAGGGAAGATACATCTGTATATACAGTTTAATATTGATGGAATAGGATCAACGTAAATGACAAAACAATTCACAATAACATTATTTACATTATTCGGACTATTGTCCTCATCTTTCTCGGCATATTTATTACAACGTTTCGGCCGTTGTACGCCCCAGCCTACTTCAGGTGGTTGGAATGTCGAACTGAATACTTTATTTTGCTCACTGGGGTAGACTGTTCTAGTTCCACGTGCCATGTTTAATGGATGTCAGTTATCAGTTATCTCTTGTTAATTTCCCTCTCCAAGTTCTCCACCGCCTTAACCAGGTATTGAAATCACACTCTTTGGGTCCTGGAACTGGATCTAACATCTTTATCCACTGTGCCATGTGTGATAACTGAAATCCATTAGACATGGCACGTCGAACTAGAACAGTCTACTCCAGTGAGCGATATAAAGGGCTCAGTTCGATATTCCAACCACCTGCAGAAGGCCGGAGCGTACAACGGCCGAAACATTGTAATAAATATGGCGATAAAGATGTGGACAATAGTCCGAATAATGTAAATAGTGTCCGTAATACCTCATCTCAGAAATATAGACAGATACTGAAGGATCGGATAAATATGGCGACAAAGATGAGGACAATAGTCCGAATAATGTAAATAGTGTCCATAATACCTCATCTCAGAAATATAGACAGATACTGAAGGATCGGATAAATATGGCAACAAAGATGAGGACAATAGTCCGAATAATGTAAATAGTGTCCATAATACCTCATCTCAGAAATATAGACAGATACTGAAGGATCGGATAAATATGGCAACAAAGATGGGGACAATAGTCCGAATAATGTAAATAGTGTCCATAATACCTCATCTCGGAAATATAGACAGATACTGAATTCGCAATAATTCCAAATGAACGAATTTTTTTCATTTTTTTTTGCTGCCAAACCATTTCGGCTGATTCATTCTTTAGCCTTCTTCAAGCGTACAATTTGTAAAAGAAAGATATTAGGATGGCATCTACTTATGTCAAAAAGAGACTTTTTTATTTTATTTTCCATTATAGAATTTATGCCCGAGAGAGGTTCGAAAGTGGATCAGCCGGAACATTGAGATAACGAGCAGAAAAAAAAAATTGTTCCAGTCCCATCACCTTGTGGCGTAGAGTGGGGGCAGCTCTTCGCCAAAACATCATTCCGTTTCATCCTCCGCGTAAAAATGACTTAAACCAATTTTAGTGTTCAATTTTTTACTCGCGGCCCTATGACGTAAAGGAATTCCATGCCCCTTCATCATGCGGTAAAAAAAAAAAAAAAAAATGACGGGAATTAATTTTAGTGTGCAAATTCTTACTCAGTCCGCCCACCCACCGATTAAAAGCCGTGACCACCACTCAAAACGTTCCAACGACGGCGCTGACGTGTTCATTAGTGTAAACAACCTTTGCCGTGACTTTTTTCAAAATTATAGACCGTAATTTGCTTTAAAATAAGTTAGATGAAAAAAAAAAGAAAGAAAAAGAATATCTTCTTCAAATTGTAAATAAAAATAAGATGTAAAGAACAGTTTTAAAAATATAAACAATAGAACAGTGCGTTTCTTTTCCTGCCTCCAGTTTGATATTTTTTAACTCCAGAAGTTTTACTAAATGAATGCGTTAAACAACTTTGAAATCCAAGGTAAACATCTTTCCTTTCTTTTTCTCTTTCAAATTATCAAAAGAGGTTATTTATTTATTTTTTAAGGAGCGAGTTAAATCTTTCTTGTTGAAATAATTCTCGGAGTGTAAAGACTTTGATTGTTTCGTTAAAGAGAACGAGAAAAAAGCGGCAGATCATTTTTTTTTCATTGGCTATCTAAATTTCGTCCAATGAACGCAAAGCTCTTAATCATAGTGGATGACAGCTGAAAGCAACAAGCTGGTAGAATAGCGTCAAACAAGATGGCCGATGTTAAGTTACAAGATGTTATATAACTCAGAGAAATAGGGCGGCAATCAGAGTGTAGTCATGTTTTTTTGGTGGGATTTTGTTCTTAGCAGAAAAGAGGTTAGCCTATGAATTATGTGACTCAACGTACACTGGGAACGTTTTATTCGTGATAGCCTGTCACTGTGTGGCTACAAATTAAAATTAAGTAGCAGGGTAGCAGAAATATCCAAAGTCTTAAAGAATTACCATTTATTTTTCAGCTTAATCAAAAATCAAAAAGAAAAATAGGATTCCATAAAAATATCGAATAATTTGTTATATATATATATATATATATATATATATATATATATATATATATAACCATTTCTTAAGCAATTGATTGTACCAAGGTCGGATATTTTGCTATTAAAAAAACAAGTCCAAAATATTGCCCTTTTAATCAATTAAAATAACGGCAAGTGATTTGAATCGCTTCTGCCTATCTTTTGAGGTAGGTAAAATCCATCTATTAGTGGAGCGTGGGTTTCTTCTTTATTTTTGGGTGGGATTGACACATCTGACCAGGTGTAGAGACCAAAAGATTCTGTCCCTAAGCATCTGTGTCAGAGTGTGCGGAGAAAGTCACTGTGAAAGCACCATTTCCTTCGTAATTTGTGCAAACGACTTTCTTGTCCTCCTCTCGTGGACGCAAAAGGTCAGTTTTGTGGTTGGACTCCGAGAAAGGAAGAGCGAATTTCAAGTCTATCGGCTCCAGGGACGTTTCAGAGTCGTTGCCTCTTTCACCGCTCGTCTTTGTATCATTCGAAGAAATTGACGAACTGGAACAGGAATGGGATAGCTGGGTGAGGTTTTCACGTGGCTTGTACAGGTCGTATTGAGTGACACCGTCATTGTTGGACTCACAGTCGCTATCTGACTCGCCCTTATCATCTTTCGTGTGGTCAGACTCAGTCCAGACGCGGTCGGGATCTTGTAACTCAGAAAATGATTCTGCCCTCGCCAAGCGTTTACCGGACCAATTTATGTAATTGTCTTCGTGACCAGGGAGCTGTATTTCTTGCTTCAAGGAATTTGATCGAGGTTTCGATAAGTCACTGTCGTCAGAAGTGACGAAGCCCCCGTCGCAAGAAACGGCTCGAGTGACTGCACTTTTGGGTGAGAGACTTTGGGTGTCAGTCGATAATTCATCTTCGGTCATTTCAAAAAACGCTTCGTCTTTTTTCTCGTGGTTTTCTTCTGTCTCCGCCTCTTCCTCTTCTCCACTATCATTATTTAGAAGATTCAACGATGGAGTTGGAGTGGTCTCCCTGTCCATCAAATCACGCTGGTGTTTGTCTACATCTACTGACAGAGAGTGGAGTTTATAGTCCCGACCAGAAGAGCTCTCAGAACTTCGTGTGCTTACGGTCGCGTTTTTCTCCACAGATTCAAATTTCAGAGGTTGGGTTAGAAAATTATCTGGCAAGCTTTTCTTGCTAACAACTGTCCCATCTTCCTCGCTGTCTGAACTGCTCGTTGTAAGACTCTCCTGTCGAATTCTTTTGAATAAGGACATTTTGAAATGAGCCTTATCGTTTTTATCTGTTCTTACATCAGACTTTTGTTCCTCGCTTTCAGACTCCAAAGAGCTTTCTTCCGAGGACGATTTGTCTCGGTCATTGGAATCGTTTTGGGAAACTTCAGCTTGCTGGCTGGCGGTGTCTTTAGTAAAGTCCAAGTTCCTCTTTGGCAGAAGAGCATTTGGTTTCAGGATCGGTTGTGTGAAAGACGATTCTTCGTGCGTGATGCTAACTGGGCGAATGGAATCTTCGGCTTCATTTTCTGAACGACTGTCATCGAGCAAGATGTCTTGCATGCCATTGTTTCTTTCATTTATCAAATCATCAGCGCCCAGACTGATATTTTTCAAATGAAAGTCTTTCAAGTGGTATTTGTACGGTGTCAACCTGCCCGACCTCTGATGTTCCTTTAGTTCCTCTGTCGTCTGTAATGGAGAGCTAGTCTCACGACTTTGATCGATGCCTTCTTTCTGAACTTCCATCTTAGAAATTTCTAGCGCCGACTTTTCATTGGCTGATTTGGTCTTCTCTTTGTTCGACGCTATATGAAATTTGACTGGCTCTGTAAACAAGATTTTCTTTTCGGCTCGAAACACGTTGTCAGTAAAGGCTAGTTCCGAACGTTCACTAGGAAGTCCATCGGTCTGTACTGCAGGTTTCAGAGACGCTAAACTAAATATATCGGTATTCATTTCAGAATTCAAAAGTGTCGAACCAGTATCGTCTGCATTTGAATCGCTATCTTTTGAATCTGTCGTAGAATCAGTGTCGTCTGCTTTTGAATTTGTTTTTAAGATTGAAGGGTTAATTTTATCTGTACTCAGTTCGTTCGTTTTCAAAAGAGAAAATTTGATATCATCTGTATTGACGCCATATTCCAAAGAGTCCCTGTCAGTGCTGTTTATATTGACATCTGTTTTTAATTTGGAAGAACCTGTCTCTTCCGTCTGCAGTTTGTATTTTAAAAATGAAGAATTCGCAGCGTCAAGCTTTGAAAGCGTGTCATCATCTTTTGTGTCGATTTTTGGCAACAAAATGGAGGACTCAGTGTGAGTTGTTTCAGTTTCCGGGTTCAAAATCGATAGATCAGCTTTTTGTATCTTAGTTTCGTATTTAAAAAATGAAGAATCGACGCCGTCGGTCGTTACTTCCGGTTTTAGAGGAGAAGAGGTGATACCGTTTAGATTCAATTCAGGTTTCAAAAGAGAAGAATGGACGTCGTTTTTTGTCATTGAAAGTAGCGAGTCCAACTTGCCTTGGGGTTTCACGATGTCAGAGTTGGAAGGAGAGCTTGCTCTCAAAATATCTGGTATCGTTTCTTGGGCTTTATTTTCGACATTGTTTGAGGTGCTTTCGACACTCGGATTCGAACCGGACAAAAACAGTTTAGAGGTCAAGGGTGAAGCTTGAAGGTTAGCGTCACAGTTTCTGATCGCTGACAGTTTGTTTTCACTGACGGCTTTCAGATCTTCTGCATTTTCACGAGCGCTGTCGTTTTTATTAAATGCCGGTGTACCAATCGTTTGTTGTTTTGTTTCTGAAGACGGAACCCACTTCAATTCTAGATCGGCTTTCGGTAACGCTTTTTCTAAACAGTTTTCTCTCATCTCACCGACACGTTCCACTCGCTTGGGAAGAGTCGGGAGCCCGTCTGTTTCGTTGTTTTTTAAAATCGAATCGGTGGAGGCGGGTTTTACGTCTTGTTTGGAATATTCCCAATCGGGAGGATTTTGTATACTCATCGCAGACACATGTGACGAACTGGGGTTAAAAGATTTTACAGGCTTTGGATCGTCCTTCCTTTCTACAGCTGGATTAATTTTAGTCGTCTGGTTTGTCGAGTGTTCTGCCGTTAAGAATATATTTGAATTCTTTGATTTGTAGCAGATTTTATCTTCCTTCGGTTCGGTTACTTTACTTGGAAAATCATCAAAACTTAGATTCAAATCAGGAAATTTGTTATGATCCGTCAACTCGTCAAACAAGTCAGCAAAGTTGGAAGATAACTCGATTTTCTTTTCTAAAGTCTTAAACTCGGATTCAGAATTCAGTGAATTTGAGTCGGGTTCTCTTCTGGCGTTCAAATCTAAATTCAAATCGAAATTATCTTCGTTGGCCTTTTGCTTCAAATCTTCAAATTCCTTGTCGCAGTTTGAAAAGTGAATATCCATCTGTTCGTCTAGTTTTGAAATGGAATCATCCGAATCAAACAGTGGGAATTTCCCGTTGGATCCAGGTTTTGGTGTACTTTCAAGTGTCTCGGACAAATCTTTGTTCTCCAAGATGTGCAGCTTGTACGGTTCCCGTAACTTGACGCTCTCTTGCAGATCGATTTTTTTCTCGAACAAAGTCTCCTCCAGACCGACGTCTTCCTTGTGGGGCACAGAAGTACTTGTCGGGGGTTCGTGAATGACAACCTCTGAGATTTGTGTACAGATAGGAATTTCATCATAAACATCGTTCGTCGTGTAAAGTCGTAACTTGGAGGAACTCATGTCTTCGAGAAAGTTCGACTTCTTGGCGACTGAAAATGACTTTTTATTGTCTGATTTTAATTCACTGTAGCTTCGTTTGGGTAATGATTCCTTCATTATCCTGGTAAGGGCGTCCAGGGACTGGCTTCGATACAAAGGATGGCTCAGTTGCATTTCAAAGCCGTTCGCTTTGTATGCGATATTGGACTTGTGTTTTTGAACGCAGATATTCACTGGATAGGGTGAGGCGTAACTCAGAATTGTCAGCGCGTCCTCAAAGACCATGTTTTCAAAAGAAATGGTCACATTCAAAATACGATCCCCTACAAGATAAAAGAGAAAGAAAGAAAACATTATTATTAAAAACTGGGATGAAACAACTTGGAAAAGTTTCATACATTATATTTATTAGGAAAAATTAATGACAACGTGGGAAAAAATGCTTTATGTGTGACGGGTTTCGTTCTTTAGGACGTCATCAGACTAAAGTGATGTTTCCGTTGATGTAGCTACACAAGGCATGAAAGGGAGGTGACACTGAAATTTTAAATTTTTAAATTAATTTTAAAAAATATGCATTTTGGTAGATAGTCTAGACAATTTAATTTTGTTTCTTTTTGTTTATATTTTTTATTACTTTTGTTATTATGTAGAAGATCTTCTAAGAAAAGTGAAATGTAGTAAGAGTTGCTACAAGGAAAACTAATGACAAAGCAGAAAATTCTTTTCATGTGACATGTTTTGTTCTTTGGGACATCATCAGGCTAAAGTGATATGACTGCACATGAGTATAGTGGCGAGAGGACATTGAAATTCTAAACTTTTAAATTGTTTTTTTTTTTTAATATGTTTGGGTAAACAAAGAACACAACTATCTTTGGTATGCAGTCTACCCAATTTTAAAAAAATTTTTTATCACATTTGTTATTATGTATCCTAATTTGTGATAATAGAAAATCAGCCAAGAAAGGTGAAATGTAAGAGTTGCCACAAGGTATACATAGGAGAAACCTCAAGGAATTTAAATAAAGGATTATATGAACAGAAAAGGGATTTTTTCAAAAAAAAAAAAAAAAAAAAAAATAAAATAAAATAATAATAAAAAAATAATACACTCAATGTATTAGTTGATCTCCATAATGAGTTTGACCATAATTTTGATTTAGAGAAATGATACGTTAATTAAATGAGAAAGCAATTTACGAAGAGAAAAGTGTTTAGAAAGTGCTTTAATTGCTAGATCATCCACAGAAAATTTGCTATATATGCTAAATATATATAATTTTGCTATATATGGCATATAGTACTACCCAGTTTCTTTTTTTTTTTTTAAATATTTTTACCATATTTGTTATTAAGTATCCCACATTGTGATAATAAAAGATCTGACAAAAAAAGTGAAATGTCGTAATAACCTGGGCTCAAATTTACTGTGGATAATCTAGCAATTAAAGTACTTTCTATACACTTTCATCTTAGCAATTTTCTTTCTCTTTTCATTAATTTAGCAATTTTTAAATTCAAACTTATGGTCAGATATATTATGACGAGAAACTATTACACTGAACGTGTTGTTTTGTAAAAGATCCCTTTTGGGTTCATATAATCTTTTATTTAAATTCCTTGCAGTTTCTCCGATATATTCCTTGTGGCAATTATTACTAGTGATAGTTTATTATTATTTTGTTTTGTATTAATTCATTAAGTGTTTTTATTTCATAATTTTCCTAACATTGTTCTGGTATATAAAAATTTATATATCATTTTCTCCAATATATATATATATATATATATATATATATATATATATATATATATATATATATATATATTATTAAGAAGACGGAGACTTTAATTATCTATTTTGTTTATAATTTTTTATTTCGTGGACACCGAGATGTTCAGCTCAACAGAACGAAACCTCCTCCATAAAACCTCCGCAATTTTGCGGGTGTGGTTTCGTTCTGATGAGCTGAACATCTAGGTGTTCACGAAATAAAATTATAAACAAAATGGATAATTAAAATTCCGTCTTCTTATGATTATAATGCTCTGTAGTCTACATTGAGTTCTCCCTGGATTTATATCCTCCTTGGAATTACCCCTCCAGTCACAAAGTAGTAAAACGTATATATATATATATATATATATATATATATATATATATATATATATATATATACCTAGTAGCAATTTCTAAATCAAAATTATGATCAGATACATTATGATGAGAAACTATTACATTACGCGTGTTGCTCTGTAAAAGATCCCTTTTGGGTTCATATAATCTTTTATTTAAATTCCTTGCAGTTTCTCCGATGTATTCCTCGTGGCAATTATTACAGATAATAAAATAAATTATTTCTTCAGGTTTTATCTTATTATTATTATTATGTTTTAAGTCTTTTATTTTTTTAGAATTCGTTGTAACAAATCTTATGTTAAGCTGAGATAAATTATTTTCAAGTATAGTTGATAGGTAATATATATATATATATATATATATATATATTGATTCGTCCTCATCTTTGTTGCCATATTTATCCGATCCTTCAGTCTATATTTCTGAGATGAGGTATAATGGTTCACTCTTCTATTTTGAAATATTTTACAAGTCTTTTGTTTCGCACTGGATATAAAATGATTATATTATTTACATTATTTACATTATTCGGACTATTGTCCTCATTTTTGTCGCCATATTTATTACAACGTTTCGCCCGTTGTACGCTTTGTCCTTCTTCAGGTGGTTGGAATGTCGAACTGAACCCTTTATTTCATTCACTGGGGTAGAGTGTTCTAGTTCCACGTGCTATGTTTAATGGATGTCAGTTATCAGTTATCTCCTGTTAATTTCCCTCTGAAAGTTCTCCACTGCCTTAACCGAGTATTGAACTCACAGTCTTTGGATACTGTCACTGGATCTAACCAACGCCTTTATCCACCTTATCCATGTGTCCTTGAGGACATATGTGTATGAATTTTTGGGTTTTATATAGTTCGACATTCCAACCACCTGAAGAAGGCCGGAGCGTACAACGGCCGAAACATTGTAATAAATATGGCGACAAAGATGAGGACAATAATCTGAATAATATAAATAGTGTACATAATACCTCATCTCAGAAATATAGACAGATACTGAAGGATCGGATAAATATGGCAACAAAGATGAGGACAATAGTCCGAATAATGTAAATAGTGTACATAATACCTCTTCTCAGAAATATAGATAGACACTGATTATATTATTGGAGGAGCTTAAATGTATTTTCAGTCTATTTCTCCTCTTATAAATATTGAGAGCTACAAATTCTGAGTTTTCCTAAATAGAATCCAATGATTATTCCGGATTTTATATTGATGCTATGGTGAGAATAAACATTTATGAGATCATTTTTATCAGTTGATTTGCAATTACTGTCTACCTGCCTAGATCTCACTAATGGAATACGGGTGGTTCGTTACAATGCGCGTAGCTGGGCGGGTCCTGGCCGTTAAGAACTAGTAGAAGTAAGGAACGTAATTCGTTTGAGCACTTTCTATGGAAGGAGCGATAGAGTAGCGAGAGACTGTTGCTTTGCCAACTTTTTTTCTTGAATATATAATTTTTGCTTAGTATGATGTTGCTCTTCTCTCTCTTTTGTTATTGTTTATTGGAAACTTTGTCGATTCTGTTTGTTAGGCATTTCTACAATTAACTATTGCCAGTTACTCTACAGCTAACGATTTACTACCAAGTCCTTTCTAAAGAACTTTGTTCAACTGTTTTTCGCAGTAAGTATGTTTGACAGAATATGTACTGCTAATTCTTTTAATAGGAGACTGGCTTTCAACTTTCCCATTTCTTATCTAAATTTACAGCCTTGATTAACTTTTTTTTTATACTAATGTTGAACCAATTTAAGGCCCAAGTGTCACCCAAGGCAGAGGGCTACTATGTGGTGTTGTATGAGCATAAAAAAAGGCAAGGGGTGAAGTTCATAAGATTATGCAAGAAAGATAACGGTTAACCCTAGATTTGAGGACGCCAAGGTTGTAGTGATTGTGTTATATACCATACCTATGAACCCTAATGGGTGTACCCCAATCCTCATAAATACGTTGGATACTATTGTGTGGGAGTAATATGCTGCCTGAATTGTCCACAATTAGCAGTGGTCAGTGGTTTACCTATTTCACGCTGCTGGCGAGTATTGTATTTTGTTGATGTTATAAAGATTACCATTTCATTTCCAACCTTCATTTTGGTTATTCCTCATTCAGTAACCATTTCTAGTTACAACACTATCTATCTATCTATCTATCTATCTATCTATCTATCTATCTATCTACTCATTCTATTCATATCTATCTGTTATATGCCATACCTATGGAAACTAATCGGTATGTCCCAATCTTCGTAAATACGTTGGATACTATTGTAAGTGGGAGTAAAATGCTGTATAAGTAGTCCACCACTAGCAGTGGTTTACCTACTTCACGGCGCTGGTGAGTATTGTATTTTGTTGATGTTATAAAGACACCATTTCATTTCCAACCTCCGTTTTGGTTATTCCTCATTCCGTAACCTTTTCTAGGTTAAAACAATTGGGGAAAGCATCCCATCGGGAATCTTTTCCATAAAGTAAAAGTTCTTAGGAAGAAGCTGTCCGAATGTAACTTACTTCTTGATATTGGGATGTGAAGGGAATGGAGACACCCACTCTTGTGTACGCGACATGGCCCGGGGTCCCAATTGTAAAGGTCAGAGTGGTGGATCTAAGGAATGTTTCTCGTCGGAACACATGCCATAGAAATAGCGATAGAGCAGAAGAAGCTTGCGACATTTCGTCCGTGGGTAGTTTTAGGGGGGGGGAAATAATTCATCACCCACAAGGTTGTGTAGATGCTTGTGAGCTCTATCAAGACAGGTAAATGAGGACTGGGCAGCGCCAGCTCAGATATAGCAGCAGTACACCATTATTGGTCTGATATGGCTCTTGTAAAGATTGAGTATAGCGGGTGAGAGGTGGGGGACAGATACTTACTGGAGTGGTAAAGGAACCGACTATTTTCTCAGCATCTTTGGCAATTGATCGCATATATGAGTTCCACTTGAGGTCTGGAGAGAGCTTCAGTCGCGATAGACGTTCAAAGTCACGAAGCCGCCTTGAGAAAAGACCCATCCATCCTGGTAGGTGAAAGTTCGGGGTCTGCTTAGTGGTGGTGGAACGTTACTCATTTGGTTTGGGCCGTATTGGATTTTGCAAGTCAGTCCTTCGCCCATTGAACCATCAGGGCTTGATCAGAGGAGATTTGAGCTGTTAGGTCCCGTTTATCAAGATTTTAAGAGGTGCACCTATAAACTGTTGTACCGCCCACATAGCTACGCACTAAGGATTGGTGTATGCTCTTAGGCCAATCATTAATATACATTAGTAAGAGGCTAGGACCGAGGAGGAGAATTTAAGTTACGTCATTTCCGAGGAGGCACGGTGGAGTGATTGGATTGAGGAATCAGAGAGCAGAGTTCGAATTCCAGTCGAATCCATTACATTCACTTACGTGCTAATACCCTTAGGAAAGGTGTGAATCCTCTTCGTCTCCCTCCAGCTATGGGTAAATAGCAGGACAGACTGGGTTCTATAGCCTTGGATAGCAACTGGTCTAGGAGAAGGACAACTCTGAATTCAAACCCGGAGTGGAGCCCCTAAGGCGGATGGACGGCACTTTGTGCTACCTTCCGGCAACTCCTGCAGCCGCGCTGGTACCAAACTCTATTGGCTTATCCTCTCCTTTGGACTCTGCTAGCAAGGCCGAGAGGGGGAACTAGACGTCCGGGCAGCCCTAGTTCTCCATAAATCCCGCCCAGGCTCGTAGCACACCGCGCTACTCTATCGTCTCTCGACGACGGACGGATGCCGACGACGACGTCATTTGCAACCAAAACCATGGCCTTTAAAAAAAAAAATAGCAACTACAACGGGTATAGTCTGCATTAACAAAGTTTTGTGCAAAAGGGGGAATTTATAAAGAGTCGCCAAAAAATTTATAGGTGAATATCAGATGCAGGCTTAACAGAGAACACAACACATACTTAAAAAAAATTAATCAGAAGCCAGATAAGAAAATAATATATATATAGAGAGAAATGGACAAATGATATTGTGGAAGTTCATACATTTTAATAGATTCCATTACTCACAGTTTTAAAGGAAAAAAAATCAAGTAAAACTGTTGACCGAGAGAATCTAGCAGATAGTTTCCGTTGTTGGGGAGTCTTTTGATCTCTAGCCGCTTCGCTTCCTTCTTTGGGTAAAAGGAGTCACTTGGTGTAGATTTGTGTAGACGAGCTTACACAATTTAAGAATGGGCTAAGTCTGTTTTAACAACATTTTTGTGCAAAAAAAGAGAATACCAGAAAAGTCGCCAAAAATTTATAGGGTGTCAACATCAGATCACGTTCATAAGAAAATTACTAGTCCTCTATTTTCATGCGTGAACGTAGTTGAGAACGCAACATGTGCTTTCACACGCACAAAACCCCCAAATTTTTTCACTATTCAGAAGTGAGATGAAAAGAATGCATGTTTTTCGGGAAACAATTTTCAGCACTCAAAACGCTATAAAAATTGGCGAATTTTAGCCACTGAGATCACATGATCAGCCTGTTACAGACAACGTGTTGCATTTGACCAAAAATATTACCACCAGAACTTTTTACAGCTTTATCTCAAAGGCACTGAAATTTATATTTATCTTACACACACACACACACACACACACACACACACACACACACACACATACATACATTATGAATGAACCTTTCTCATACTATTTTCTATACACACTCAGAAATCGTCGAAACGTGATTTGTAAAAATGTCAGTAAATTAGTGATTACTAAGCAATTTATTTTGTCAGGAGGAGATAACTCACTTAACTTTCTCCGTTAATAATTTTTGTAACCGTGTTAATATTGAAAGGAAAATATGACAAAGTTTACCCCCCTCCCCCTTCAAAAAAAACAAAACAAAAAAAAACGAAACAAAACAAAACTGGGTGTCAAAAAGATGTTTTTTTTCCCTTGACACTGTTATTACTGCATACTCCCTCTTTTGCGGGAAACGTTTGTAACACGAGGGAAAATTGATGTAATGGAATAACCAGTCACCCCCATGAATGATTACACTATAGGTAGTAAGTGCCTATAAAGTCAACTGTCTATAAGAGACTTGGGGAAGAGTGAGAGCGAGACGACGCAAGCACGTCCGGCCTTCCAGTTAGTGGCACTCACTACTTGATTGACTTGTGTGTATAACTGTACCGTATTTAATATTGTACTTGTTGTGTACATAAACCTTTCTTCTAGAATCCACCTGGTGTTATGTGTTTATTCCCTTAGCATGGAATATAACAATGGCGACGAAAATGTTTGAAACGAATTCACACGGAAAATAACAATGGCGACGTGGATGAGATAAAATGAACTCACACGGAATATAACAAAAATGTTTTACCTTCTGACACAAAAACGGTTTGGAACGTGTCTCGCGTGCAACCCCCAAAAAAAAATGGCGGCTTTACGGTTTAAAGGTTAGACTTTGTTGAAAATAATAAAAATCAGGCTGAAAATACTCTGAATGTTTTCTCATTATACTCACCGACTTTTAAAACTCCAGACTCAACGGCGGGGCCTCGGTTGTGAACTTCACTGACAAAAATTCCGTCCCTCATGCTGCCAGATATATTGAAACCCAGACCAATAAAATCTTGGCTCTGTAGATTTACGCTGATAATCTCGGGATCCTGTATGAACAGACATTAATTTCAAAGAATTAGAAAATTAATTGATATTTGAAATTTCAAATCTATATACAAAAAACAAAACTGTTCTGTTGATACTGCACGTTTAAAATTAATTTTCACAACTTTTTAAAACTTCAAAATTTAGCAGGCACAAATAAAATTTAATTACAAAAAATGATAATTTCTTTTCAATGTATTCCGAATTTGAGGTGTAAAGAAATGAAATTATCATAATTTTAATAGTATTATCATTTTATTTCTCATTTTCCCACTTGATGGAACTGAGAATAAGTCAACTACATCCACTACCGAAGGTTAAAACTTTCCTACCAAAGGGCACAATTTCCTAGTTTTGTCTACATTTTTTAGTCTAATATCAACCTGAATTATTTCTACATTTTTTAGCCTAATCTAAACCCGAATTATGTGTACATTTTTGAGTCTAATGTAAACCCGAATTATGTGTACATTTTTGAGTCTAATCTGAACCTGAATTATGTGTACATTTTTGAATCTAATCTAAACCCGAATTATGTGTACATTTTTGAGTCTAATCTGAACCTGAATTATGTGTACATTTTTGAGTCTAATCTGAACTTGAATTATTTCTACATTTTTGAGTCTAATCTAAACCCGAATTATGTGTACATTTTGAGTCTAATCTGAACCTGAATTATTTCTACATTTTTGAGTCTAATCTAAACCCGAATTATGTGTACATTTTTGAGTCTAATCTGAACCTGAATTATTTCTACATTTTTGAGTCTAATCTAAACCCGAATTATGCGTACATTTTTGAGTCTAATCTAAACCCGAATTATGTGTACATTTTTGAGTCTAATCTGAACCTGAATTATGTGTACAATTTTGTGTCTACTCTAAACCTGACTTATTTCTACATTTTCAATTTTAGCGAAAACAAGACATACGTATTTACAGTCGTGTGGAATGCCACCATCTTGATTATGTCCTTATTTTCTTGGTTTACATCCATATCATGTTGAAACACCGGTTCCATATGATCACCGAAGTTAAGCAACCTCCAATCTAGTCAGCACTTAGATGGGTGACCGCTTGGGAATACTAGGTATTGTAAGCTTGGATGTGTGCGTGGTGTAATGGATAATGACTCAGAATTGTTAATCGGAGAACCGAGTTCGAATTCCAGTCAGGTTCGTTATATTCACTTACGCGCAAAGACTCTTGGGAAAGGTATGAATTCACCTCTTCTCCCCACAACTATGGGTTAATTAGTAAGACTAAAGCGTTATTATCTTCAAAAATAAAATAAAATTGTGTACCAAAAATATTTAGATTTCAGCATTAAATAACCCATAGAGGTGTTGATATGCTGCTAAACAAAAACAAACAGCCATTATTTTTTTTTGAGTCAAATGATGTTATCCATTTTAGTTGTTAATGTTGTTGACAGTCCTCAACTGATGTGGTTTCTGTTATTTGGTACAGTTCTTTGTTTGTGATTCTGTAGTGCCAGTCCATAATGTTCAAGGAAGAATGGTCCTCACTGAGGCATACATTCTTCACTCGCTTGAAACCATTTTAAACGATCGATCCGAGAAGACGGTTGTATAGAGTTAACAGTTTAGGTCTTTCTGAATAATTTTGGTGTCATGAATGGCATTCATATAAAAGTCTCAATCTAACGAGCCCATTTAAGAACATAACTTAAGTTTTCAGGTTTTCGTTTAGTAGCAACTTGTGGTGTTAGGTGAAACTATCCCCAGCACAGTCCATTCTTTGTTCAATTTCCTTATCTTTTATACTAAATTTGTTATAATTGATTCATATACTGAGGTATTTGAGGTGTTTAGCATTTACCAATTCCACATTCTGAATTTTCATGATGAATTCAGGGCAGGTGTACACATCTTGATTATACGATTATTTTCTCTTCGAGTTACATGTGCTATCCATTTTAGTTGTTGCTGCTGTTGGTAGTCTTCAAGTGATGTGGTTTCTGTTATTTGGTACAGTTCTTTGCTTGTGATTTTGTAGCGCCAGTCCACATTGTTCGAAGGAGGATGGTCTTAACCAAGATCCACAGGTTTCACTTGCTCAAAGCTATTTTCAACCATTGATCTTAGAACGCAGTTGTATACAGCTGACAGTTTATATATTTCTGAACAGGTTTGGTGTCACGCGTGACATCCGTGTGAAAGTCTCGACCTGACGAGGCTATTTAAGAACATGACTCAAGTTCTTAGGTTAATTGTTTTGTAGCAACTTGCGGTGTTGGGCTAAACTACCTCTAGCGCAGCGTATTTTATGTTCAATTTCCCTTTCTCATATACTTCTGTAGGAGTTCCTCTAATTTCCTTTCTATGTCTATTTGCCTTGTTTTCATTACTGGTAATGACGTGAATAATCTTTTATTTAATACTAGCCGAATTACTCGCGCCTTGCTGCATGTCACACATTTTTTATAAGAAAATGATGATTGATTTTAAATTTATGGATTACTATAAATTCATATACTATAAACAATATTACTCAATGATCATTTCAATGTGACCTCCATCTTCTGGTTTTCTACTTTTATATTCTGAATAGGAGTCATTTCCTTGTTCAAATTTGAATTTGATTTAAATCAAAGGGACAAAAATTTCAGTGAGGGGTTGTGCCCTCCTCCTCCGGGGACCCCCTTTGATGAAAATGAAATATACTTATCCAAGTGCTCTAGAAGTCATTCCCTTGTTAAAATCTAAATTTAATTTATATCAAAGGGAAAAAATTTCAGTGGTGGTGCGGGGGGAAATGACCCCCTCCCGTGGAGGCCCTTTGATCAAAATGATTTGGCCGATGTGACCGCCATCTGCTGGTTTTCTCCTTGTATATTTTGGATAGGAGTCATTCTCTTGTTCAAATTTAAATTTAATTTAAATCAAAGGGAAAAAAAATCAGTAGGGGGGTGACCACCTCCCCACCTCCGGGGACTCCCTTTGATCAAAATGAAATATACTTATCTAACTACCCTAGGAGTCATTCCCTTTTTCAAATTTAAATTTAATTTATATCAAAGGGAAGGTTTTTGCCCCCCCCCTCCGTGAACCCCCTTTGATCAAAATGAAATATACTTATCCAGGTACCCTGGGTAATGTAGTTTCAGAATATATATGGTTATGGAAGTCTATCTCCAAAACCCTAGGAGGAGTTTGATAACAAACAGAGGCTACAACTTTATATATAGAGATTTATTGTTAAACATGAATGGATTGATTTCATTTTTTTACAGGCGGAATGCATTGGTAAAAGCTAGATTTAATTGACTGAGTTGTTTTATTAGAGATAATCAACCCTTTGCTGGTTATTTAAAGCTAGATTTACTGACACAAGTCCTACTAATTAACATCAATGGGGAGAAATAGGTGGATTCATGCCTTTCCCAAGGGTATTTACGTGTAAGTGAATATAAAAATGCTAACTAAAATTGGAACTCGGCACTTCGATTTCAAATTCCGAGCCGTTGTCCATTAGAGGACCTGCTCATGCAAGTCTACAGCGCCTGGTATTCCTAAGCAGTCACCCGTCTAGGTACTGACCAGGTTCAACATTTCTTAACTTTGATGGCCCGTACAAGAACTGGTGTTCCAACCAGTCACCCATCGAGATACTAGCCAGGGTTGACGTTGCTTAACTTTGATATTTGTATGATGTTCAGTGTTCGCAAATGGTCACCCATTTAGGTACTGATTAGGCTTGGCGTTGGTTGACTTTGGTTATCGTACAAGAATCAGTTTTTGCAAACGGTCACCCATATAGGTACTATCCAGGCTCTACATTGCTTAACTTTGGTGATCATATTAGGACTGGTGTTTCCAAATGGTCACCGACCTAGGTACTGACCAGGATCGATGTTGCTTAACTTTCGTGATTGTATAAGAACCAGTGTTTCCAAGTGGTCATCTATCTTCGAATTGAACAGACTTGACGTTGCTTAACTTTGGAGATTGTACAAGAATCATTTCCCAAATGGTCACCCATTTACAGACTGACCAGGTTTGCGATTGCTTAAATTTGGTGATCCCATGAGAACTGGTGTTCTCAAGTGGTCACCCATCTGTGGATAGACCAGGCTTGACATTGCTTAATTTAGGTAATCATACGAGAACTGGTGTTCCCAAGCGGTCACCCATCTTGGCACTGACCATACTCAACATTGCTTAACTTTTGTGATCGTAATAGAACCGGTGTTTGAAAGCGGTCACCCATTTACAGACTGACCAGGCTCGACATTGCTTGATTTTCGTGATCCTACGAGAACTAGTGTTCCTAAGTTGTCACCCATCTGTGGACTGACCAGGCTCAACATTGCTTAAATTTGGTGATCCTATGAGATCTGTTGTTCCCAATCTGTCACCCATCTAGGTACTGACCAGGCTTGACATCGCTTAACTTTGTTGGTCGTATGAGAATGGGTGTTCCCAAGTGGTCATCCCCCTAGGCTTGGACCGGGCTCAGTGTTGTTTAGCTTTGGTAATTGTACGAGAACCGGTATTCCCAATCGGTCACCCACTAGGTACTGACCAGAATCGATATTGTTAATTTTGTTATCATACAAGAACTAGTTTTCCCAAGCGGTCACTGATTTACAGACTGACCATTAATGATGTTGCTTGAATTTGGTAATCCTATGAGAATTGGCGTTCCCATGTGCACACCATCTAGGGACTGGCCAGTCTTGACCTTGTATCATAGCAACCTTGTATCATAGCAACCTTGTATCATAGCAACGTTGATTTTTCCTGTTTTATTCTGCGTCTCATTATAAAATCCTTGAAGGTGATTCTATTCCTGTAATGTGGCCATGAGATTCATACGCATGTTTTTTTAATTGTATACCACAAACTTTAGCCTTGGCCGTTAATCGGAAGATATTAATCTGACACTACAAGAGGCAGACATTCCCCATTCAATGCAGGAAGTTCAGGCTTGCTTGAAAGGAGATCACATCAATATAATAAAGTCGATTCCTCTAACTCCATTTTGTTTTCTCTTTTGATTATTGATATTTTCGAGGTTGAGAGAGACAAAGAGAAAGATGCATAATCATCGTTGCTTCTGAAAGCTAAGCAAAGTGTTAAGAAAGCTAAGCAAAGTAATAAGTGAGCTAAGCAAAGTATTAAGAAATCCAAGCAAATTATTAAGAAAGCTCAAGCAAAGTGTTAAGAAAACTAAACAAAGTAATAAGTGAGCCAAGCAAAGTAATAAGAAATCAAAGCAAATTATTAAGAAAGCTAAGCAAAGTGTTAAGAAAGTCAAACAAAGTAATAAGTAAGCTAAGCAAAGTAATGAATCCAAGCAAATTATTAAGAAAGCTAAGCAAAGTAATAAGAATGCTAAGCAAAGTAGCAAGAGAGTTAAGCAAAGTAATAAGAAATCTATGCAAATTATAAAGAATGCCAAGCAAAGTATAAAGAAAGCTAAGCAAATTATTAAGAAAGCTAAGCAAAGTAATAAAAGAGCTATGCAAAGTAATAAGGATGCTAAGCAAGGTAATAAGAGAGCTAAGCAAAGTAATAATAAATCCCAGCAAATTATTAAGAAAGCTAAGCAAAATATTAAGAAAGCTAGGCAAAGTAGTAAAAAAGTTAAGCAACTTATTAAGAAACAGGAATATTTTGTTAGAAACAAAGCACTGAATTGTTATGTAACATCACTTCCCCTATGAATGCTAGAAATGAAAATTCAAAGAACCTGCAATGTTATTGGTCCAAACCTAGCATCTTGGCTTCACAGTGCCTTTTCCTCCTCCATAACGTAGATTCTCTGTGCCTTTTATATAAACACTTTCATGTTAATTGTTCGGATGAAATTTCCGCTACAGTATTTATAAATATTGTTATTTTCCCCCCATCCCCACAGACAAATTGTACATATAGAAACTACTTAGGACTACATAGAGATTTTGTGGTATTATGGTGACTGTAGTAAGAATGGTAAGTAAGAATGTATCGTTTTGGTGTAAGGAATACTGTGGTATGTTTGGGTCAGTAATTGTGGCTAGCCAAGTTTAAGATAAGACAGATTGAAGACCATCCTTCCCCTATTCCCCCCTTTAGGCCTTGTGCCACATTTT